GGCTCCTGCGGGAGGACACCACTGCAGAGGAGGGTGGACAGGATGGAGCAGGCATTATGCCGCACCCTCTCTCGGAGTATGAGGTGAAGAACGTGATGTTCTCTGTGATGCTGGGGTTCCCTGGGATCTTCCCAACCTCCAGGCATGCTGAGGAGCCTGTGTGGAAATGGGTTTGGGAGTGTTTTCCGAGTCACTGCCAGACACAGAAACATTAAGGTTCTTTGTGACCATCTCTTTTTGCCCTGTGTTTCTTTGCCCCCAGGATGAGTGGGATGAAATCTTAACCCTGGCACTGCTGGAAGTTCACCCATCTTTCAATTCTTGGACAGGTTCTTGAGCTGCTCAGGAGTGTACAGAAGGGTTCTGAGGACAGGAAAAGATCCCTCGGCCGCCTCTGCTGGGCTCTGCGGAACAAGGAGACTCAGCAGAAGTTTGTCAGGTCAGCTCAGGTCTTGGCACTGCATGGCTGTTACCTTGGGCATGTCCGGAGTGGCCCTTTGGCCCAGTCGCTGTGTGGGTGAGCTGGTGTGTGGCTGAGGCTGGGAGGGCAGGAGGTGACAGCACCTTTTGGGTTCCACCAGGCTGGACGGCAGCATCCGAACGCTCATCGGGTTCTTCACCAGCAGCCTGGCTGACGTGCAGATGCAGGCAGGCCGCTGTCTCCACGAGCTGTCCCACTCCAGTGACCCTGCTGTGGCTGAGGCATGTCTGCCAGTGACCTCCTACCTCCTCACCTACCTCTCTGGACACAGTATTGAGTTCACGGTAAGGTCCGTGTTTGTCTGGGCTGCGGCACCTGATAACCCTTTGATAGCAGTTAAGTGTTGACCTCTCTTGACCAGCCTTAGCCTAACGTGGCTCACAGAGGAGTGCTGCTGGGAAGGGGCCCTCTGGAAGTCTCTAGTCCAACCTTCCCCTTGTCTCCAGTGCTAAGCCCAGCATCTGGCCAAGTCTTGAACATATGCAGACCCACTTCACTGTGCCCTGTTGTCCTGGGTTCAGCTACAGCAGTCATTTTTTCTCCTTCTTAGTAGCTGGTGCAGTGCTGTGTTTTTTGACTTTCAGTCTGGGAACAATGCTGATAACACCGATGGTTTTAGTTGTTGCTCAGTAATGTTTACTCTGACCAAGGACTTTCTGAGTCTCATGCTCTGCCAGGGAGGAGGGGAAGCTGGGAGGAAGCAGAGACAGGAAAACTGCCCCAAACTGGCCAAAGGGGTATTCCATACCACAGCACGTCATGCCCAGTATATAAACTGGGGGGAGTCACCCGGAAGGCCCAGATCGCTGCTCGGGTCGGGCTGGGTATCGGTCTGCGGGTGGTGAGCGGTTGTGTCCTCTCCCCTTGTTATTCCTCTTATCATTATTATTGGTAGCAGTAGTGGGTTGTATTATACCTTAGTTCCTGGAGAGCTGTTATCTCAACCCGTGGGAGTTACATTCCTCTGATTCTCCGCCCCATCCCTCCGGGAGCCGGGGGAGAAAGGAAGGCGGTGGAGGGGGGGTAGTGAGCGAGCAGCTGCGTGGTTCCAAGTTGCCCGCTGGGCTTGAACACAGAACCGGGGGAGAAAGGAAGGCGGTGGAGGGGGGGTAGTGAGCGAGCAGCTGCGTGGTTCCAAGTTGCCAGCTGGGCTTGAACCACGACACCTGTCCCAACACCAAGAGGAGTTTGGTTCCGTTGTGTTCCAGGTAGCTGCAGGCTGCTCCTAAATGCTCTCCGGTCTTACCCAGGCCAGGCAAATCCTCCTGCCACAGCCTGGGATCCAGTGGTTTGCCCTATTTGCAATGGGTTGTTCCTCTTCAGCTCCAAACTCCATTTGGGAAAGCAGGGATTGTGGTGTGGCACTTTGGCTTCATCGTTAGACATGTGGTCTGGCCTGTGGGCCTGGACAGGAGGTACCCTGGTGTCTGTGTATGGGTAAAGCATAAATACCAGATGGAAGTCAGTTGAGGGTTCCAACCCCTGCCATGGGCAGAGACACCTTCCACTAGAGCAGGTTGCTCCAAGCCCCTGTGTTCAACCTGGCCTCGAACACTGCCAGGGATGGAGCAGCTGCTTGCTGGCTGCCCAGGCTGGCCAGGGTCCCGCTGGGGATGTGGAGGGGGTGACCTGCTCTTTGGTGTGTTTCAGGAGCTGTGTTTGTACACACTGGGAAACCTGGTAGTAGAAAGCGAAGCTGTGAGGAAGCGGCTTCTGCCTCAGGGCATCATTCCAGTGCTGGCATCCTGCATCCAGGTGGGTGAAATAGCTCAGCCACATTCTTCCCCTGCCCTGCCCCAGAACGGTCCTTTTCTCATGGCCTTCAGGTGTTGGCTGACAGTACTGAGCTGTGTTGCTCAGCTGCTTGCTTGGGTGTTCCAAAGGGATATCTTGTTCCCACCAGCACAGCAGCTGGGATCCCTGGCTCTGTCATGCAGGATTAGCTTTGCTCTCTCTGATTGCAGTCCCCGCACGAGGCTGTGCTGGAAGGGCTGGGCTACGTCCTCTCGCAGCTCCTCCAAGCCAAGGAAGCCCCCACAGAGATCATTCCGTGAGTCCAAGCTTTGTAACCCTGCATCAGGATGGGCCCTGGGGCTCAGTGTGATATTTGTGTGTCGGGGATGACGACTCCCTTCCCATCCCAGTGAAATTAATAGTTCAGAGCAGAACCCTACTAGAACTATGGAGGTTTTGTTGCAGATCAGGGTGTGGGGCTTGACTCTTTTCCCTTAGCCTCATCTGAGCAGACAGCTCTGATATTTCAGTAAAGGACAGTGTGGAGCAGGGCAGGCTCGCAGGGAAATTCGGGCTGTGTTCCTCCTGCAAAAGAAAAGACCAGCTTGACAGCCCCCACTGCCAAAAATGTGCCCCCAGCCCCTGCCATGGACAGGGAGAGCTTGTGCTGGGCCT